CTTGTTTGGAGTTCAGATGACGGTGGTGAAGATGGTGCGGAAGGTGGTTATTTCTGGCTACCTCGGGCACCTGAGGGGTACAAGCCTATGGGGCTTTTGGTGACTAACCAGCCAGCTAAGCCTGCATTGGAGGAAGTCAGAGTTGTTCGGTCTGACTTGACAGATACGTGCGAAAATCATCACGTTATTCTCAGCATCAATTCAGCACCATTTACGGTATGTAGCACTAGACCAACTCATAGGGGAATGCTGGGTAAAGGCGTCTCAGTTGGGACTTTTTTCTGCAGTAGCTGCTGGAGTTCTGGCGATGAACAACGTATTTCATGCCTAAAGAACTGCAACCCTGCGTTGATTGCGATGCCAAACCTCGATCAGGTCCACGCACTCATCAATCACTATGGGCCAACTGTGTTCTTTCACCCAGATGAAGCGTTCTTGCCATCTTCTGTTTCATGGTTCTTCGAAAATGGATCGCTACTATACAGAAAAGGAGATCCTGTAGGGGAGCCCATAGACGTAAGTGGTTCAAACTTACCTAGCGTTGGGAACAACGATGGGGAGTATTGGATTGATTTTCCGAGTGATGGGCGGAACAATAGGATCAAGAATGGGAACTTGGATTCTGCTAAACTTTATGTTCATGTGAAGCCAGCTTTGGGTGGTACATTTACGGACATTGTGATGTGGATCTTTTGCCCCTTCAATGGGCCAGCCACTCTCAAAGTTGGCATGAATATTCGTGTGGGCATTGGACAGCATGTAGGTGACTGGGAACATTTTACTCTCCGTATAAGCAACTTTACTGGAGAGCTGTGGAGCATCTACTTCTCACAGCACAGCGGTGGCCAGTGGGTGGATGCATGTGATTTGGAATTTATAGATGGAAACAAAGCGGCTGTTTACTCATCGAAAAGCGGGCACGCTATCTACCCTCGTCCCGGAACCTACATTCAGGGATCGAAAAAGCTTGGCATCGGGATAAGGAATGATGCAGCTCGGAGTGATTTTAAAGTGGACTCGAGCACCGGCTATGAGATTGTTGCTGCCGAATATCTGGGAGACGGTGTTGTTGGCGAGCCTTGCTGGTTGCAATATATGAGAAAATGGGGTCCGTCCGTCACCTACGATTCAAGAACCAGGCTAGACAAAATAATCAGATCTTTGCCCGTGATGTTCAGACGCCCGGCGGCGTCCATATTTGGCAAGCTTCCAATCGAGGTTTTTGGTGAAGACGGCCCTACAGGGCCGAAGGAAAAGAACAACTGGGTTGGCGACGAAAGAAGCTAGAGGTTCAAATCTCCAACCCCTATATGCAAAAATTTTTCAACTGATGCTGTGTGGGTAGCAAGTATCCTGGTGGCCACGCACCATTTTCAGTGTAAACTAGCCTGTAGAACTGTTGATATCACTCGGTTGCATACGGATGGAAGTAGTTCCAAATCAGCAGGGTGAATATTTTCAAAGTGAGTACGAGTTTTAGAATGCTTTGCATCGTCGGTGTGGTGATGTCCAGAGCAGATCATTGATGTAATATGAGACTCAAAGATACGCGAAACATGAGATCTGTATATTGCACTCGAAGTTACTTACGTCGGTCATTGTAACGAGTTCCTCTCATACTGGTGCCACTTTCTTAGCTTCCCTCTGTTTTTTCCCCAGGTTGTAATTATAAAGTTATTGCCTAAGCAATTTTCGCGCGATTAACAAGAGTCTTGTTAACGAGCGTTCCTCCGTGACTTACAAATAGCCCCTTTTCCCACCATACGAAAAAAGACCTTCATGTCTTTCCTAACGGCGACCGACGAATTCGGGCTTTAGATTTTCACATACGGGCAGGGTGCACGGAAGAACCGAGTTAGGTCAAGATAGCAACGCTTTTACGATTAATAAATATATATCTTGTTCTTCACGATCAGGGAGTTACTCATGTAACCTGCTGGTTCTTACACATCAGCACTTTGTTCTGACAGGGGAACCTTAGTAAAGCGCAAAAAGGACCACGTAACGAAAAGTCACGGCATTAATTGTAGATTACGTATGGGACAATGTCGTGACAACTATCGCCGTGCAAAACGTTTTATTATAAGATGCGTATATGATCAAACGGTTCAGGTGGAATTGACAAGGTCGTCGGGTCGCCGGTCGCCGGCGTGTGGAATGGTGAGAAAATGGAGGGCCCGCCTTGTCGGATTGTAGGTGGAATCACGTTTGAAGTGATGGCTGCCTGTTGGTCCCCCATCATCGTCCTCCTCTTCCTCCTCCTGTTTTCCCAACTTTCTTTTCCCTGTGTCCCTGTTTCGGCATCTTTCTAGATGCTCCACTTCATCACGACAAATCATCACAAATTGGAGCTTCCCCCAAGGTTTCATGATTTTGTCTTTTCCATTCCTTTTTTTGTTTTTAAATTTTTGTAGACCGTAATTCCATTCACCAAATGAAAAAAACATCCCCAAAGGATGAAAGCGAGGTCGAAAAATGTGAGGCTAATTCCCTGCTAGTAGTTTATTGGGTTTTGTTTTCCAACCATCAGTAGTTTATGTTAGGGTTAATAATGCTATAAAAAACCCTAAACTGATACATTCATATCACATATACATTAAATTAATTTTTGTGTCATAAAAACTCTTAAACTGGTATATTCATGTCACATTTATCTAAAATTGGTGTTCTGATGCCACATTTACTCCAAACTAATTTTTTATCACGAAAAATCCCGAATCGGTAAATCTATGCCACTGGTTTACCCATGCCATATTAACCTCCAAAAAAATCCCAAATTTACCACAATTTTTTAGTACCAGCGGCACAGATGTATCGATTTGGTCTAAATATGACATAAATGTACCAGTTTGGAAGTTTTTGTGATACAAAAATTAGTTTGGAATATATGTGGCAAGGGTATACCCATTTAGAATGTTTTGAATATATGTAGCACGAGTGTACCGATTTATAAATTTTTATGGTATTAGCCCTTCATGTTAAGCTCAATTTCAGCAATCGATTATCATTAGGATTCTCTTATCCAACACCCGTTCAAGAGAATGTCGAATAACAGATATCCCCCGATTCATCAAGAAAAAAAGGTGTCTCGTATAACCGTGAAGTTAATGTCACATAAGTTGTGCAAGTCGTTCACTCTCCTCGATGAGCAAGTCCGCTCCAATCTCAATAAAACGAGTCGAAAATCCGACTCGAATCACCGTTACGTGCGCCTTTTTTTACTTTCCTTCCTTTCGATATTAATAGTTATCCATTTAATTCAATCCAAACGCTTTCAAACTTTTTTAATATTTAAAAAAAAAAAATGCCGCACGTGTGGATGCTTAAGCATCGTTTTAGGAACATGCAGCTACTATTTTCGTCCTCGAAATTTAAAATACGTCTCGAGTAAGCCCCCCGGGAATACCCGTCAATAAAATAATGGTTCCTTTTTTGAAGGGGAGATGGAAGTTGGCCTTGAAACCCCACCTGAGCCTGAAGAGTCCATGAGGAAGGAAAGGAAGAAGGAGAAAGCCAAATCGATTGGTGGCGCACTGAGGAGACAAGGAGGCCCCACTCTCCCTCCTCTCCCCCTCCCGCCAAGACATCAAGCCCATCAACAATCTCTCCTCCCAACCCAATCCCACCCTCTCTTTACCTAACTTCCCTCCTCTTTTCCCCCTCCCCCATTATTACCAATTACCATATGCTCTCTCTACTTCATCAATTGGAGCATCTCTCTCTCTCTTTCTTTCTTCCTTCTATTATTTTCATTCAATATAAATCTCACTCCCTATGCTCTTTGGGGATTTTTTTTTCTCCTTATCCTAAACCAAATTTTACACCCTACTAGAGGTTCGACACGTAACTCTTCCACATGTGATTTTTGTTCGGGATTCTTTGGAAACCAGACGGTGTGCCCGTAATCATTATGCGCGTGGCGTTTTGGGTCCGTATTTGCGAATACTTACCTAGAAGTTATTAATAGATACGTTCGAAATAACTTTTTGTAAGTCGCGCTGCTTATCAATTCGAACAATTTCAATGATGGATGTACTCGATTGTAAACGGATCACGTGGGATGGTTGCAACACCACACACGGAACCTGGAGGAACATTGGGTCGCCCGCTATCGGACTGCCGTGCATTGGGGCAGCAACCTTGACCTAACGAATAAGTCTTCCTAAATCGAGTCTATTCGACAGCATATGACTTGATTGAATCTAAAGTAAGCTCTCTTATCGGACTCGTGGGATTCGAAACTCGAACCATGCGAATGGGAAATCATTTCGAAGTGAGATTTTTATCCCACTTTGGTGGAAACGTACATCTAACATAAAAACCACGAATCGATGGAGCAACATTAGAGCTCCCAACTTTTTGGCAATTTTGCTTCGACGGGACAGCATTAGCGGTCTCCTCTCCCTTAACATTAATGATCGCATCACTTTCTTTTTCTCCTTTTCGCTCTCTTATCGAATGATCACTTTACTCCGAAAAAATAGTATTTAAAAAATAATTTCCTGTATACTTTTCGTATGTAACATTCAATACCTCGCTATAAAAATTTTAAGAATCGAACTATTTTTAAGATATAATCGCCCGAGATTTTTCTATGTAATTTATCGGAAGAGCTATTTTTACATAACACAAAAAAAGAAAAGAATAGTAACGAGGGCTTATTCACAAATTCGAAAATGGCTATCGGGAACGAAATGATTTCTTGTTCTTTTGGAAACCCCTCTTTTTTTTTCATCAGACAAAAAAAAAAATTGTGACGAAATTCAAAAATAAAAAATAAAAAAGAAAGCAAAAGAAGGAAAGAATTCTCCAAGTGCGTTTTCATCGCCCGTCGTCTCTCTCTCTCTCTCTCTCTCTCTGTCAGCTGCTTCTTCTTCTTCTTCTTCTTGTACTCCTCTCCTTCTTCCTCACTCATAGCTTTGCCTTCAAATCCACTTCTCTCTCCTCTCTCTCTCTCTCTCTAAAAACCTTCTGCTCCACCTCTCTACAGGCCTCTCTCTCTCTCTCTCCATCCTTCGCCGTCGGACGGAATGCAGGGAGAGAGCGCGGGCGGGGCGGCGTCGCCGGCGGAGTTGACCGCGTCGAAGCGGGGCGGCGGCTCCTCCTCGCCGCCCTACGTCGCTTCGTCGTCGGAGGGCTCCTCGGCCCCGGACGAGCTGGCCCTCGGCCTGACCCTCGGGGTCGGCGACTCCCGCCCCCTCAAGCCCCCGCGCGCCGGCCCCGTCATCCTGACCGCCAAGGACTTGCCTTCTTTCGTCCCCGCTTCCTCCTCCTCCTCCTCCGCCTCGCCGCCGCCGCCGCCGCCGGCGTCGTCGTCGTCTTCTTGTTCGTCCACGCTCAGCCGAGCCGAGGGCGGCGGCGCGGGGACCAAGAGGGGTGCCGATTCCGTGGCTGCCCCCACTGCTTCCAGGTACTTCCCGTGCTGCTCTCGACGCATGTAGTGCTCGGAGTTTTGGAATTTTGGACTTGGTCTGTATGGATTCTCGCAGTATACTTGTCGATCGTTTCCGGTTGTTGTGCGTTTCGTGGAGCTGATGGTTGTATGTTATGGTTTTGGCATGTTATATTTGATCTTCGATGAGATGAATCTTGGTGGGTTGTGATTTCGCATTTCTTTTTCGTTTTTCTTGTGGCAACCCTGCATATTTTCTGTCATATGAGCGAGGGAGTAGCCGAACCTCAAGGCCAGTTGGTCAAAAATCATGATTGATTATACTGCGTTCAGGTAGCGAGTTCATCTGTTCGAGAGTTCTAGCGAAGGGACCTCACTTCGCAGGTCTCTTGTCCCGGTAATTGCCCGATTGTTGTGGGACGGGCAACTGTCACGATCTTGTGAAATCAGTGGAGTGCTCCTTGGACACCAGTTGTCATAGGGAATTGGTTTTCCTTGTCTGATTTCGATAGGCTCCTCGTGAGGGAAAGAAAGAAGTTTTTGTTGCAGGTGGTGGGCCGTTGGTACTTCATCATTCGTGTCTCTATGCTTGGTTTAAAGAAGTTGGAAGATCAGTCCACGTGGAAATATTTCTTTAGCACCCTGGACATACCCTCAAAATGAAAGATCGTAGCTGTTTAGGCCTTGTCTGTAGCAGTTACAGCTTTGGTTGCTGGAAAGGCCAGATCAAAGGGTGTATGATATTTGTTCATTTCCTTTGGCAACTTTAGAGATAACTAAGGAGATAGCAGAAAATGGAAATTAATGTAATGGAAAGCTTAGTCGAATAAGTGAAGTATAATATTTTCCACAGAAGGCACTGGCCTGGGAAGAAAGCTTATCATGGTGGGGCCCCGAAGAAAGGAAAAGGGCTGGCACTTACACCAGATCTGCTTTTGACGGGAAGGTTTCTTGAGAATGTACTCCCCGTGGCAGTTGGTATCAGAGCAGGATATCTTAAACCCCTCTTGGTAGAGTCCCTAGGTGGACAGAATAGTACTACTTAGTGACTAGGAGTGGAGAGCCCGTTGCGCGTTGTTTTTGTTTGACCGGCCTATCTTCTTTCTATAAGCAAGCTCCCTTCGGCTGGACGGCTCTTGGTTCTTGAGCATGTTGGGAGATTAAAAGCAGAAATAACCCATAAGAGCTGTAGACAAGTGAGATAGGCACGAAAGGGGGGCATTCAGGGGATGTTCAAGGAAAGAAAAGAAAAGGGAACTATTTTTGGGTAACTTAAGTTGCAAGGAAAGAGGAGAGATGAAAGCACATTTCCACTCTTTTCCTTCCTTGTCTTCTTCTGTATTTTTGTTGTGAAATTCGGAAAGGAAATGACGAAGAAAGGCCGGAACCACTAGTATTGAGTTTGAAAACCAGTACTCTGCTCATAGAATCAGCATATCTTCCCTTCTGCTTCTTCTGAGAGTGAAATATGAGCTTAGTTATGAGGGATTTTGTCTAGGATCTAGTTTTTCTTTTGTTCCTTTCACTTTGCCGCAGAGTGGCCAAGTAGAGGACTAAACTAGCTCTTAAATTAAATTTTCTTTCTTTACTTCAATTCCCAAAATTGAAACTAAGAAATGCAATAGGAAGTAGCTCATTCATTTGTGAGAATCAAATTCTTGACCAGGGAAAATGGTGATGTATTACTGGCCTTAATAACTACAGGGACATCTTATCTTGGTCTTCGTCATGTTTTCATCGCTGCATTTTAGTTGCAATAGCTGATGACTATCGGAGACCATGAAATGTTTTTTGAACATATTTGAAGTGGCGATCTGATCCAGCAATTGAACTAGTGTGTTTGAGTGGTTCATGCAAGCTTCCTTTCCTTTTTGTTCTACTTGTTTTTCCTGAAAAGTTTTTCGCCCTTGCCAATAGGGTGGAGTCCATAAAATCGCCGCATAGGTTACCTTACTTGGCCTTGTATGAATGTTGAGAGTTTGATGAATGGATGGTCTTTGCATTTTTCATTTACACTAGAGAGATTTCGTCTTGCATATGTAGTTGACCGTTCTATTGGAGTTTGATATTGTGCGCAGTTCTAACACTTATTGATGTATATTTCCTGCTGTTACACAATTCTTGAGCAGTCAGGTAGTGGGATGGCCTCCCATAAAAACTCACAGAATAAACATCTTGGTTAACACTGCAAAATCTACTTCAACTGGAGAGTTTGACCCCATAATTGAGAAAAATGATAGCAAGCTTGCTGCATTAGAGAAGATCAATAATGCCAGGAACGACAAAAACGGTAACTCCATGAAGGTTTCGTGCCCCAAAACTTCTCTCTTTGTAAAGGTCAATATGGATGGGGATGCAATTGGAAGGAAGGTAGATCTAAATGCACATCAATGCTATGAGAGCTTAGCAGAGACATTGGAGGATATGTTTGATTATCCCACTACAAAAGTCAACGCAACACGTAAGTTTTTCTTCTGTTGCTTGCTGATCTTTCATTAGGACGTTATGAATTCTAATTGTAAGTGATTATTTTTTTATGGTCATCTTCCTATTGAAACTATTTTGAAGTATCAATACTTTCCCTGTGATCCATTGTGCCTCGATCGGGTCTCAACAATAGCTAATATAATGAGTTCAATTGGAGTTTGGGGTTATAGACCCTTGAAGATCCTCGATCAGAACTACATGGACTTGGTATTGGTATATGGTTTGCAACCCGTGTAAATGTGGTGTCTTTGGATTATATATAGGATCAAATAGGTTGATGCATCACGGATCAGTAGGAGCAACAAGAGCCTCAAAATTGCTGGATGGTTCATCTGGATACGTTCTTACTTATGAGGACAAAGACGGAGATTGGATGCTTATTGGAGATCTTCCTTGGAGGTATGTAGCATGGTGGTACTTTCTTTTTGATTGTTTATATTGTGTGTTACTTTATACAAGTCCTGCACCAATTCACATTTAAGCATGTGGCATTTTTCATTTTTAAGCTTTGAAGCCCAAGTGGATATATTCAATCTCTCTTGTTGAGACCATGCCACATCAGGAACATTGCCAGAAGTGCTTTATGAACAAATTAAGTTGATTGAACTTGGAGAAAGATTTCTTGAAAAATAATAATGCGTTCCTTTTCCAATTCACTATATTACACATTGGTGAAGCATTCCTTACCAATAATTCTTCTTTTCGATTCCTGCTCGATTTTTTATCTTGTGCAGATACTATAATCTTATTTTGTTGGCACTGTGCATAAGTTCTGTTTCGCATCTTTATTTTCATTCTACCCCGGCATATGTTGGTGCGAGTAATTTTTGTTTCTCATGCAAGGGAGCTTAAGCCTTCATACGAGTCAATGGGCTAAATCCTAGGAAAGAAAAGTAGTCGGGAATTATTTATCATCTTACTCAGATTCTGCATATTACATCAAGTGCCCAGATTGGTCGACGGTAAAAGAAGTGGATAATGATAAGCACAACTTGCATTTCTATACTCTTTTGCGGCAAATTGCAAGTCGCAGCGTGTTAAGATTTGTATCAATAACAGTTCTTTGACCATGAAAGTTGTGGCCTAACCAAATAAGTGGTTTGTTGGAGCCAATTCTGTAAATGTAGTCTTTAAATCATTACCCTTATCACATCATTATGAGTACTTTTACAAAGCACAATTGAGAAAGAACTAGTTGGTTTGAATTATTAGTACTTTGGCCAAGCACTATTGAGGATTGGCTGATTGCTGCCAGATAAATGCAAGAAAAGAATGAGAGTTGTATAACCCATAAATATGTTCCTGGCTCCAGTATTTGTACAGTACTTGCCTGGAATTTACTTGCTATCCTGCAGATTATGCATATCTTAGATTTTTACCAGTAGTTCTGATGCTGTCAGTGGTTTTTGTTGCCAATTTGATGGTGATAACAGCTGCTTCCACCTAGAAAGGGATTCGTGGTGGATAAATGTCGATTGATCCTACAAAGTTCTAGCAAAAGTAGTGACAAATCAACCTCAGGATTAGCTTCTGTTTTCCACATCACCTCATAGATTAAGAGAAGAAGTGAACCATTATTTTAATACCTTTATGGCTTTTCTTCTGGGATATTTGGGATTGTGAGGATAAAAGTGGCTAGTGCATGATATTTGAAGAGCACCAACTAAGCGATGTAGTGACAGAAGGATTCAGGAACAAGGGAAAAATGCTCGACAAATTGATGTCTATGTATATGTTCTCGGTTAAGTTTTCTTTATGCATGCGATCCTTTCTATCTGATTCTGGAATTATACTTTTTATATCAGGATGTTCCTGAATTCTGTGAAGAGGCTTCGAATTATGAAGACTTCTGAGGCTAATGGACTTGGTACTGAATTATACAGTCAATTTTCCGAGACTTGATCATGTACATGGTTTTGTATGATCATGATATTTAAAACATTGTTGAGGATGAGTGCTGACCTAAAGCTGGGTAGCTCTGAAGCTATCCAGGTCCCTGTAGAGCATGGTTGCGAACTTTTGAGTGAACGTGTGAATAGCTTGCCCATATCCATACAGTTGAATTAATGAAAGACTGGACAAATGGAGCATTTTGAAAATCATGGTTGCTCCTCTTGGTGTCCCTTTTCTGTATTTGTTGATGTGACACTGCCTTTTCCCAACTTTTGTCACTGTTGTTGTCCGTCGTACGGTTAAATCAAAACCATGGAATGTCCTATATATGTTGTATATACATATACTTCCCGTAACTTCTTTCTTGTTGGTGCTCCTTCCGGTTCGAGAGAGAGAGAGAGAGAGATGGACCCTATCCTTTTTCGTGGCTTGTTTATTGCTTCTCCATATTCTCTGCGAAGAAATGAGATTTCATATTAAGAGTCTTTCTGATCAAGCCCACTTGAATTACTAACAAAGTAGCCTTGTGATTATTCATATCAAATTGGAATTATGGATGACATGAGATTTGGCATGTAAAAGGCCAGTAGTCTAGTATTCAGGTTGAAAACTGATGAACATGCACCTGGATTTTTAGCAGAAGTTTCTAGCATTAATTATATAATGAAGATGCTCTCTCCCCTCTTCCAACAGTTAGATTGTACCTTCAAACAGATCGAAGTCAATCAATGATCAGTAAAGTAACCAAGAGAAGAACCCTATTAACTTGTTAGAGCATCATACTTGTGCTAACTTAAATCACAGGACTATCGATTATCCTTGTTTTCATCGTCCTGTCTTATATATACTAACTGCTAAGGCTTCTAGGGCACTCGATTTACTAGTCATTGTTGACCCTGTGGAACACGGATCAAAACAACTCTCTGATGTTACAAAAGAGGCGGCAAAAAATACCCTTCATAACCCATGAAGTCGTCAATGCATTGACCTAAAAGAAAAGTTATTGCACGGTTTATAGACTATATGGACGAACAAAACAAGATCAATGTCCAGATGAACTTGGTCTACATGATTTATATGTCATGCAATGTTTTTTCCTCAGAGATTTAAGAATGTGTTCTTTTTCTAATGCTAATACCAATCAGAACCTGCATATCCTTTACTTTTCGGGTGAATGTTACCAATAAAACAAAATAAGAAGAAAAATTGAAGCTCTAAAAATATACTGCTGAAATGATTCTGGACACGGACATATACCGCAAATGAGGTTTTACTTGCAAAAAAGGTACCTAGATCATATACCGGCGATCTCTACAGATATCAGAACCAGTAGCTACAAGCATTCAATTAAGAAATTCTACATACAGAGAAGAATTGAAGAAGCTATTAGCCAGAAGGAACTCAAATACTCAGAACTCTAGTCCCTAGAGAAGGCCATTTACAGGTGACGTGCTGAAAACCGGCTTGTCTTTGCCAGCGTCATACATTGTGGCGCCATTGCTACTGCTCTTTCTCCGAGGCTTGGCCTCTCCGAGCATCGTTAGGACATCCCTCATGGAGGGCCTATCTCTCGGCAGCTTTGCAGTACAGAGGACCGCTACTCTGAGCACCAAAAGCATCTCTTCCTGCACATGCTTGCAGTTTCCTACGTTGGGGTCTAGAGCCTCTTCCAGGGCTCTGTTGTCCCTGACTTTCCTCCGTATCCACTCGACAATGTCAATGGATTCTCCGAACTCGGGATCTAGAGGCCTTTTGCCTGTGATGAGCTCCAAAAGTACGACACCGAAGCTGTATATGTCTATCTTTTCGTCAACCTTCATGGTGTATCCGTACTCTGTCAGGGAATATCAAAACATTGCATCCTTGTTAGCTAGAGGAAAGGTCACGAGCTTATGTAATACTCTCATCACCTTTTAGCATTGATTAGTAGCTTTTTTGCTAGGGTAATATGATTATTAGCTGGGACACTGGCAAGATCTGATAGTTGTTCAATTCGATGGAAAATTAAGAGAGTGATAATCAACTTACCAGGCGCAATGTATCCATAGGACCCTGCCACTACCGATACTGTTTCGTTCTTCCGGAGCATCATTTTTGCCAACCCAAAATCGGCAATTCTGGCTTCTAGGTTCGCAGTGAGCAAAATATTGGTCGACTTGATATCTCGATGAATGATCGGGGGATGGCAATCATGGTGCAGATAAGCCAGCCCTTGGGCGATGCCAAGCGCTATATTGTACCGTGAGACCCAATCCACGAGTAGATTCCCTGCTTGTTTCCCGTGTAATGCTTCTCCAAGATTTCCATTTTGCATGAACTCATACATGATCATCATATTGGTCTTGTTGTGAAGAAACCCGAGCAAACGTACTATGTTCCGGTGCCGTAATCTCCCAAGGAGTTTCACTTCCCCCACTAGATCATCGTCGCTTGCTGCTTCAATATCTGTTCCCGATCTCCAGAGCTTTTTAACGGCCACAACAGTGTTAGACCTCGATATCTCGGCTTTGTAAACTGTTCCAGTGGCTCCGGCCCCAATGATGTTCGATTCCTTAAGGCTAGCTAGGATATCGGTGCTCGTGAACCTGAGCCTTTGGAATGCCATTAGTCGCCATGGCCACTCTCCGCTCTCCACCTCAAGCCTTTCCTCGAAGCAACTTCCTTTTGACAAGTACCACCTTCGATAGAGAGTTCTCATGCCGAAAAGAGCTATGAAAATCGCCATAGCTGTTGATATACCGACAATCCATCCGGCAATGATGTGCTTTGTGTGCGAGCTCCTTCGAAACGAAGTCAATGCCAAACTTCCTGAGCAAGGAGGGAGTACCCCACCGCATAGACCGGCATTTCCCACAAGATCTTCGGGATTTATGGTCCTCAACACGCCATTTGCCGGAATAGGACCTTCTAACTGGTTGTAGGAAACATTCAACACTTCCAAGGCGGGCGACATCCCGAAATTCTTGGGTATTCCGCCGGTCAAAGAGTTGTTTGATAGATCTAAAACAGCCAAAGTGGGCATCATGGCAATGGCGTTTGGGATCTCTCCAGTTAACCGATTGTTCCTCAGGTTCAACTTGACCAACCTTTCGCAGGAAGCGATGCTTGATGGGATGGTGCCAGATAACTGGTTTGAAGAGAGATCCAGCTCCGAAAGCGAAGGGCAATCTTGGAACTGGTCCGGGATTTCTCCCTCGAAATTATTGCGCGAGGCCATGAAGCTTTGGAGATTGGGGAGGGAGAGAATTGTGGAGGGTAAGGAAGATTGGAAATTGTTCATGGAGAGATCAATGAAAGAAAGCGATGTTGAAGAGGCGATGTCATTAGGTACTTGACCTGTGAGACTGTTATTTGCCAGCTCCAACCTTTGAAGCTTCTGTAACTTTCCAAATCCTCCTGGAATTGTACCTGATAGAAGATTATTCTGCATTCGAACCCGAACTAGGGAGGCGCAACTTGAAAGGCTAACCGGGATCTGACCCGAGAGGGCATTGTTGAAGAGGATGAGTTTGGTGAGATTCCCTCCGCTGCACAAGTTTGCAGGCATCTCGCCGGAGAAAGAGTTGGATGAGATGTCCAGCCATTGCAAGGGTGAGTTCTTGCCAAGATCACTTGGCAATGGACCAGACAGAGAATTGTTCCAGAGCTCAAGAACCTTCAATTTTGTCAACCCACCTATCCCCGGGGGTACCAGCCCAGACAAGTTGTTGCACATGAGGTTCAAGAGCTCTAAGTTCTTCAGTTGAGCAACTTCAGCTGGAACTTCTCCCGATAACAGGTTGAACGAGAGATCAAGCAATTGCAATAATGCAATGCTTCCTATTGCCGGCGGGATACTACCTTCAAAATTGTTGTTGTACAAGAACATAGTTTCTAGCTGCTTGAGCTGCCCCAACGCGGCAGGAATCTGACCACCAAGATTCCCGACTGCCAAATCGAGATACCTTAAATTCGTGAGATTTCCGAACTCAGCTGGGATTCCACCAGTGAATTCGTTGTACCCAAGAATTATGCTCTCCAGAGAAGTGAGTTGGCCGAGCTCTCCTGGAATCTGGCCAGTGAGATTGTTCCCAGATAGGCCGAGAAACTTCAGCTTCTGCAGGTTTTTGAAAGACTTCGGTATAGACCCTTGAAAGAAGTTCCCTCTGAGGTCTAAGATCTGCAATGCGCTCACATTGCCCAGATCCTCGGGAATCAATCCCGAGAAGTTGTTGCTCGAGGCATTGAGCATTGTCAATCCAGCTATTCTCCCGAAACCAGCCGGAAAGCTAGTGATGAAAAAATTCTGGCTGACATCAATGATCTTCAGTGACGAAAGATTCGTCACAGACTCCGGGAACAAAGAGAAGCTATTGCTAGAAATGTTAAGGAGTGAAAGACTCTGCAGTCTCTGTATGTCATCCGAGATGTTCCCGCTCATATTCATCCGTGAAAGATCAAGTCCTTCCACAGCTCCATTTGAGTTGCAGTGGACACCAGTCCACTTACAGTGAGCTGCACTGTTGCCAACCGAATTGTTGGGCAATTCCCAATCTCGAAGACTGTTTAACGAATCGATGAGGCCAGCTTTTATCGACAACAAGGTCGCCGCTTCATCGGTGGAGGCAGAAGCCAAAGAAGAGAAGAGAATGCAGCAGCGGCAGCAGAAGAAGAAGAGCAGCGGCAGAAACCGAGCCTGTATCTGCATTTTTTTTCTTCTCTTTTGCTGTTCACTGCAATTTCTCGAATCTTTCAGTGCTTATTCAATTTCCACCATAATGGTTTAGTGTTTTGGTGAAGTAGCTAGTGAAGCAGGACTGAGAAGTGGAAGTGGGAGGACTGGGAGTGATCAGCGAGTGTTTTGAAGCTTAGTTCGGAAGAGAAGACGTTGCTTAAAGCATATGGCGTTGGTATGTCGGTATCAAGAATGTGAGGAACAGATAATGATGATTGATTAGTTTTAATACAGAGAGAAAGAGAGAGAGGGAGCTCGTGAGGTCTTGGGTTGTGCAAACAGGCTGTTCATGTGCAAATAATGGACTGAGGAAGATTTTTGGACTTATTTGAAGCTACCCCGACATTAAACAAGGGTTGAGAATGTGTTTTTCTTACCACTGAATGCTCTGTCCTTTTCAACCACCACCTTCTTCTTCTTCTTCTTCTTCTTCTTCTTCTTCTTCTGTCATGGTAATTAGTCAACTCATTGAAATGGCAATAAAGAAATCCCATGTTCTACCCTTGTCTTTTGCCATTTCGTGGTTGTTTTTCCAAGTTAAATAGACAAAATAGCAATATAAAAATATCAAAAGGAAGTGCTAGTGTTTGTCATATCAATAATGTCAGATAAATAGACGAACTTACCATGTTTTTTCTGCTGAGACGAAATTCAATGTATTTTCACTTAATATAGACCAAGTGATTGAAGAGATATAAATTAGCTACTTAAGTTAGCTCTTAGAGAACTTGATTGCATAAAATAAAAATTAGAGAACCAAATAATCACATAAACAACCAAAATTTTAAAGGACTAAGAGCGGAGTTTAACCGAAAAACAATATTAGTGACCGATATGCTCTTGGGTTTTCAGATGAATTTTGTTAGCATCTTTTTTCGTTGTTGTAATTAGGTGGTAATAATACTTCATTCGTCAACTTTCTCACATTAAACTTATTCATCTCTTTGATCCAATGAAAAGCAGATCATCCACATAAAGTACGGAGGATTTACAAGAATTACTTAGAATGTATCGAGTAGGTATCGGTGTAAATTTTGTAACAAAACTGCTTAGTGTCTTGGGTGTCCTTTCCAATATACGGCAAATAATAGAAAATAGCGTTTTCTGAGTGCTCTCATTCTCAAGCAAAAGAAGCTACTTCATAGACTGCAACATTGAACAGAAGATTGTTCTTATGTTCCTTTCAGACACCATAAAAATGTGTGTAAACTGGGAATTCCAAGCGGAGCTGCATGACCAAATGATTGAAGGTTTGTTACTATTGTTTAATGTCAAAGGGTAACTTCTAAGTATGACAAGGATTCATTCAGGAATCATTGGACACAGATCTAAACATTCCCATTAAAATAATTGGAGGGGCTTTGATTTTAATTAGTTTTTAACCAGAGTAAAAGCAAATGGATCCTCATCTTCAAGTGTCAATAATTCCACCGAAAAGAAGAAGACTCTCAGTCACTGATTGGAAGACCTCACGTTGTGCTGAGATTATTTTAATTGGCGCAGATCAGAGCCACAACCTTTTAAATTACAGTTAAATTAGCTCCAAAAAATAAATAGAAATAAAAGGGTGACTTTTGTTTGATTATCATATTATAGTTGTCTAGCAAAGGATGGGAATCTATCCATGTTACACGGGCAAAACCTACAACAGGAGAAAAACCTACTTCTATAATTTCCACTTTGTCTTTTTCATGCGTCTGACTGTGATTAAGCCTCCTTTTAAAATATTAATTAATTAGTTTTAGACGAACGCCGTCTAGCAACATATGTGATTACACATGAGGAACGAAAATTTAGAAAATGAGACATTAAATGGCAAGGTTTAAAAGGTAGGGGTGGGGGGGTGAACTCTAACAAATACAAGTTTTTTCAGATTGATTAATTTAGTGTGCATCTAGTAAGTATAGTGTTTATTATTAGCTGGAGCGAGGCACTGACCTCGGCAATGCTAGTTCAACATAAACTTGCAGCTATATGACACCTAGAGCGATAGGAACTGAGCTAATCTCAGGTCTGTTCTTCAAGTAGAAGGCAGCAGAAAACAAGAAAGTGAGCTTCCAATTTCTCTTTTTGCTGAAAAAATAACTAAATACATATAAAAAATAAAGAAAGAGAGGAAAGAAATGGAGAAAGTGATGCCCACCCACTAACATCCTTCTTCTCCAAGGTTAGTTCTGAGAAAGTGGGTGACAAAAGAAACATCTTTTTCTTTTTTTCTTTTTTTTTTGTTTTTTAAAAAAGGATTGAGATTCACATGCACACATGTGGGTTAGTGCAGTTACAATTAAATATGTGAAATAATTTTTTTTTGGGTTGAAGGGTGCGATGTGCAATGGAGTGGATGGGGGCCATGTGAAGCCACAGCTTGATCAACATTTCTGCAATTCCTATTATTGGAGAGAGACTCTTTCATCTGACATTCACTATAGATATTAATTTTTCTTCCCTTCCTTTTCCTGTTAATTACAGTTTATGATTGTATTTGTAAATCAAGAATAATGGGGGGGGGAGGGGAAAGAAGAGTTGGCTATGAACATCGAACCCCTTGTGATGTGCTTCCACACATGGCTTTATGCCCACAACTAGGTCTTTTAGTACTCGAGACAGCCTTTCATGATCGTAGGGAAAAAAGGGTATTTTGTACTTTGGACGGATGTTCATGTTCTCACCACATCAGAGAGAGAGAGAGAGAGAGAGAGAGAGAGGACGCACATGCAAAGGAAGGAACTAACTCGCTTCATATTACACCAGTAGGATTGATCAGATATGAGCAACAAGGGCCTTCTTGTCCTTCATGTGGTTGGAAACCTTCGTCTGTAAAACTCTACATCTGCATTGGCTAATCTCTTCTTGTATAGTAAGTCTGCATCATATAGATACTACACTTGAGTTGGGGTCGCTACAAGAGATTTCTCAATACGTTACATTTTTTGCTAAATGCCACTCGAAGTTTTTCTGTATGGTATTGTGATTTATAACCCAATATATACTTAACTTTAAACATTATTAAATATTCTTCCAGTGGAGCAATCCGGAGGCCTGCATAAGTTGAATCTCTACTATACTAACTTTATCGAGACAAAGACGGTTCCTGGTTTGACATGGCGAAGAATTTGGGAAACTAAATCTGAAAAATTGGAACAATGTAACCCTTTTTCTCCAAAGTATCAACAAATTATTGTCTCTAGGATTCAAACCCTACCGAGTTCAGTTGCCTTTCACATAGAATCAAGTGAGGGCTGGGACAAAGCAAGAGGGCCTAGATACCATTTCATGTTTATGATAGAAAAGGTTGGTCCAACATCTGGAAACGAGAATGACACCATCATGGGGACATATTCCTTAATTAACTTCGTATCTCTTGAATTTCAACTATGTGGGAGTTGCTGTCTTAAAACCTTTTCTGAGTAAAAACCCTCCAACTTCCCCAACTTCTCTGAAGAATACGGAAGAGAGTTTTAAGGGGTGACCGATTTCTGGACTGCTGCAAACCCAACTCTAAGGCACGGGTATATAGATATCTTAATGAGCCCAAGGCCAAGTTTACAGGACATTAGGAAACTGGCTGATCTGCTACGATCCTCCCCAATTCCGCAAACCGGAAGATAATCATATACTCGATTTGCTTGATCTTAGATCCACCTAAATGTTCCCATCGAAAGGCAGATTACTAGCACTCCGTGCATAAAAATATTGGAAAATTTCAATTTGGTACCCAAAGTGAGGTCATTTTCTCAAAAAGGGGTCCAAAGTGAACAAAGTGTCAAATAAGAGTTTGAAATGCCCAATTAGTCTCAAATAGGGGCCCGAAGTGCCCAATTAGTCTTAAGTAAGGGCCTGAGTTCACCGGCCGGTCAAATGCTCACCGGCCGGCAAGCACGTCACTGTTCCGATGAGGGCAATTTCGTCTTTTACTCTTTTTTTTTTTTTCTCTTTTCCGTTTCCTTTTCCTTTTCTTCTTTTTCTTCTTCTTCTTTTTTTCTCTTTTCCCTCCGCCGCCCGGCTATGGCGCTGCAGAGGTGGCCGGCCTCAGCGGAGGTGCCCTCGCCGGCGTCGGACGAGGGCCGCCGACGTGTGTGAGGTCGGGCGAGGGTCGCCCGACGCCGGCGAGGGAAACCAGTGGTCGACCCTCGCCGGCGTCGGGCGAAGGTTGCCCTCGCCTGGGCTAGGTGGGTGAGGGTCGCCCTCGCCCGCCCAGCCCAGGCGAGGGCGGCCTCCGCTTGAGGCCGGCCACCTCCGCCGGCCATAGCCGGGGCCGGCGGGGGGAAAAGAGCAAAGAAAGAAGAAGAAAAGGAAAAGGAAAGGAGAAAAAAAGAGAGAGTAAAGACGAAATTGCTCTCGCCGGAATGTGACGTGTTGCTCGCCGTGAGCATTTGACGGCCGGCGACCGTGCCTTTATTTGAGACTAATTAGGCACTTCGATCCCTTATTTGAGACTGGGGAAAATTCCAAAAAAGGACCCAAAGTGGACCTATTTTCTCAAATAAGTACCCAGAGTGGACTTTGTTTCAAAGAAGGACCTGAAGTGGATCCATTGTCTCAAATAAGGACCCGAAGTGGACTTTGTTTCAAATAAGTACCTGAAGTGGCTAAATCAATCTCAAATAAGGACCTCAATTCCCGGCTGGTGAAATGTTTGCCGGCAGACATTTTCTGGCAAGGGGCAATTTTGTCCCAAATTTGTAATTAGCTAAAAAAATAGGAAAATTCCCGAATGGATTAAGTTTAGGTTATTCCTCTAAATGTTTACGTTTTCTTCTTCTTCTCCCACGCTGCTCCTTAACCAAATCGCCATTTTGGTCCTCGCCAATACTCGATCGATTCTCATCGCTTCTCGCGAGCATTAGTCTATTGTTCGCCGTCGTCTCTTCTTTCCAAGGTTTCGTTGTCCACAAGCTTCAAGTTCGTCGCCGTTCGAGTGCACCGCTTGGGCGACCATGGCGGCGAGGGTTGTCTCTTTAGGAGGCACTTCCGTCGATCGCTATTATCGGCGGCCAGTAATCTATGATCGCATTTTAGTCACATTTTGCTGTCGATTTCATTGCGGATGCTTGCTTTAATCAAACGGTGTGCGTTTTTGTTGTTGAAAATCTTCAATGCTTGAGAGCGTGGTTGGGAGGGAT